TATTATTATGCATCTTACTTTTTGTTTCACTGCAAATTCGTTCGATACTTACAAAATACCGAGTTTATTAAAAATTTGGATGAAACAGGAACAGGAAGTGCTTTGCGATTTTGCGACGGCGTCTGTCTGTGTCTGTCGATTCACAAACGAAAGTAGTCGCCTTGCCAGTGTTAGTCAATAGTTGCACTGTTGCTCAATTAGAAATTGAATTTGTAACGTCTACGTGGTTTATCGGCCACGTTTATCTCAGTAAGTCTAATTCATAGCCATGTCTTTGGCAGATGAATTGTTGGCAGATCTCGAGGATGGTGGGGAAGATGTTGGTGACATGGATGAAGCGGAGGATGGTGTCCACGATGTGGTGGACGATGTGGAAATGACGATAGGTCAAGGTGCTTCTGTAAGATGTGTTGCTAAGCTGAGAGACAGTGGGGAGCTGCACAAGATTTTAGCAAACATTGAAGAATATTCGTCAAGGCCAAAACGTGATGCAGTTGCAGGACCAGTTGAGGCAGATCCAGAATACAAACTTATAGTCGACGCAAATAACATGACTGTAGAAATTGACAATGAAATAAATGTGATTCACCAGTTTGTCAAAGACATTTATTCAAAACGATTTCCAGAATTGGAGTCACTTGTTCCAATGCCTCTGGAATACATTTGTACTGTCAAAGAACTAGGTAATGATATTTTGGAGAGATCAAAGAACAATGAAGCTCTTCAAGATATCTTGACTTCTGCTACCATTATGGTTGTAAGTGTCACAGCGTCAACAACTCAAGGAACAGTGCTGTCTGAGAACGATTTGGCTACTGTTATGGAAGGCTGTGAAATGGCTATTGATCTTAACAAAAGCAAAATGAATATCTTCGAATATGTAGAATCGCGGATGGCATTCATAGCTCCAAATCTTACGATCATTGTTGGTGCTTCAACAGCTGCAAAAATTATGGGTACAGCTGGTGGTCTTACCAACTTGTCAAAAATGCCCGCTTGTAATGTGCTTCTCCTTGGTAGTCAAAAGAAAACACTTTCTGGATTCTCAAGCACCAATATTCTCCCACACACTGGTTTTATCTATCATTGTGAAATTGTTCAAAAAATGCCTCCTGACATGCGACGGAAAACAGCCAGAGCAGTATCTGCAAAAGTGGCTCTTGCTGCTCGTGTGGATAGTTTTCATGAAAGTGTAGATGGCACAGTCGGGGATCGGTTGAGAGGTGAGCTGGATCACAAAATGGATAAGATGACTGAGCCACCTCCTGTGAAATTTGCCAAACCACTGCCTGCACCAATTGAGCAGTCCAAGAAGAAACGAGGGGGCAGAAGGGCGAGGAAAATGAAGGTAATGATTTTTTTTTAATGAATAAAAATAATCTGACTGCTCTGTGTATGACTGAAATATTTGCCTGTGCATGACCAAGAATAGTATGGTCACATTACTGTGTGTTAAGGATGACGACCTCTATTCTCACCTGGGGTTTGAAGTAATTAATTTAATGTCAAAATTTAACTCCCATTTCTGTCTGCTGATTACTGTTGTGATCATGGATCATTAATTATAATTATATACGAAGTGACTTTTCTCTAAACGCTCGTGAAAATGAACTTGACGGCTATTTTTCCAAACGGTTTCCGTTCTCAGTTCTCAAGATTTTCCTGTTATTTGGGAGTTTGGCGTCATCTTTCTACGAGGACTGAGAAAAAGGCATCGAATTCAATTTCTAGAACTAGAGATTTTTAGATGTCTGAACATTCGGATACTTCAATTGTAGTTGGGTAACGTTCCCGGATGTACTTCATTTGAAATGCCTTCAAAAGGTATGGCGAGAAAACTAAAGACTGTGACTTATTTTGCATTTAGTCACCCCTAAAGCAAAAACTAAATCACCAAAAAAATCCCACAACCCTCCTTTCCCCCCCCCTCCCTTATATACACACACACACACACACACCAGGCCACTCCATTCGCAAATAACCAGAAAGTCTCGAGAGCGGAAACCGTTCGGGGAAACTCAGTTCAAAGTTTATTTTCCCGAGCGTTCAGAGAAGTAGTGCCGGCCTAATTATAATGAAGTATACAAGATTCAGATTGCTCAGGATGCTTAAATTAGGTGTACCAAGCACCCCGATGGTCTTTTAAACTTTAAAATAAATATATGGGATTTTTCCTATAAAATTATTTGTGCAGTTCTAACTTTATATTTTTTTTACATTACAAAATTATATTAATTTTTATTGCATTTTTCATTTTCTCCTCCTATGCCCTTTGCCAGGAGCGACTCGGGTTGTCAGAACTTAGAAAACAAGCCAACAGAATGAACTTTGGCCAAATAGAAGATGATGCCTACCAGGATGACTTAGGCTTCTCCATGGGCACAATGGGCAAGTCACGATCTGGGAAGATTAGAGGACCACCTGTGGACGCGAAGACCAAAGCAAGAATCTCAAAGACTTTGCAGCAGAAACTTAACAAGCAGAATCAAACGTGGGGTGGCAGTACTACTGTGAAGAAACAGGTAAGTTATAATACAGTGGAACTTGGATTCAACAAAGTCGTCAGGCCTGGCCTTCAATTTCGTTGAGTCCGAGTGTTCCTTATATATGGCAAATATATGAGGTTTTTGTTTAGATAATTACAGGTACCGAGCAAGTAATGTATTCGACTTTCTCTGTCAAAAGCAGTTTGGTTTCAAATGAGAAGTATTTTTAGGGGTTTTTTTTGGATACCTAAGAATTGCTAGAAAATCCATGTCAAAATTAGCTTGTCATTGTAATATAATTGATCAGTAGCTGGGGAAAAAATAATTCATCTTACTGTGTCGCGCTTGAATCTCTCTACTGATATCCTATGCCTGGACCATTTGTACCCCGCCATCCCAGTCACACGCCATACATGTGATGGCTGCCCGTTCGACTCCGACACACGCTAAGACATGGGTGCATGATAACAACGCGTGTGTAGGTATGAAAGGAGGGTGTTGATTTGTCGCTTAGAGCAATTCACCCTGTAAGCGACTTCTTTGAATCCGAGCTTGCGCGTGTATGTGTTCGTTAAATCCAAGTTATTGTTATATTGATTTTTATGAATAAAAAATTTGGGGAATCCAACTCCTTTCCTTGAAACCGAGTTCCCCTGTATATGGTCAGAAAGCTGTTAAAATGTACTACGCCAAAAAATTTGAATTAAAATTTTATTTTTTTTCAGTTTCTTAATCTCTGGTATGGGTTGCAAGTGCTCAAGAAATATTTTTCAAAATTCAAAATTTAAATATGCTGAAAAGGGCAAGAGAAATACATAATGTAGCTTGTACACAATTGATAAAAGAATAAAACAGGGTTTTTAATCTCTTCTTTAAAAATTTTCCTTTCTGAGCTTAATACTTTTTACTAGCTTGCTGACCATATTTGATTTTATGTTGATAGAGTATAACATTGTCTTATTAAATGTAAATCTACATTCAGTTGAACCCTGTTATGCTGCCTACCTTGGGATGAGCATGAAATTGGTGGTATTGCAGGGATGGAGTTTAAAGGGTTCCACTGTTTAAATAGCACCGACTGCCCATCATCAAGGGAAATGATTGTGCGACCTCTAGATGAAGGACAATATCATCATGCATGAGAGGTGTTTACTGCCTTGTGCCAAACTGTTGAGAGATGAATAGCGATTTGCTTTTGTGACTTTGACTTTGAAGGCTGTGCTTTAAAATATTTGCAAATTTCTTGCTTGTCCTGGGCGGTCAAGGGCAGTGGAGACAAGCTGGCCTCCTTGCCTCACTAGAACTGTAATTTACACAATTGCCATGTTCCGGGGGAAAACAACTAGGAGTCACTTGCATACATGTAGCTCCAGCTGCACTTTAAGTTTATCCCAATTGAAAATATCTGCTGGATCAGAAAGAAATTAGACTGTGTTTCAAGGTCCCTGTCGACATACTTTTTGACCCAATGCCTGTCAGTCCTGAGTCCGCCCCAGACCTGTCGACCTGTCATGTTGAGTTGAGCTCGCTCACAAAATAAAAGCCTCATAGTATAGGTGTCTGTCAAACTTGAGGTCATCAGGCTGAGTGATATCTAGTGACACCGGGTATTTAGCCAACAAGCCAAGGAAGCTCGGTTCCGTTCAAGTATCCCAGGCAACTTAAAATTCCATTCCAAAATAGGGTAAAACAAAATTTTTACTTGAAATCTGCAAGTGCAAGACAGGGATGAGGCGGGGGGAATGGAGCAAATCTGCGCTGCGACAAGGCTTGATCTTGACCTAACTTGCAGAGTCGTGTGCATGAGAAATTAATCGAGTAGCAACGGTGTGTGCCATGTGTTGTGTGCACCTCTGGCATTTCTTTTTTTTTTTTTTTTTCTTAATTAAAAAAGTAAGTATTTTTGCACCCCCATCAACACAGTTTAGGTGTCGTAGGGCCAACCTGGGCTGAGAGGGATGCGACATCCCAGCAGACAGACTAAGATACCCATCATACTCAATGAAAATTACCCATGCTCTGGAATTGAATTTGGATCCCCAGCATGCAACAGCAAAGTGCCTAACTGCTACACTACAGACACAGGTTTGCTGGTGGTTTAGCAGGACAAATGTACATTAATTTCATTAGGACAGAGGAACAAAATAACTCACATTCACCAAACATGTAATTGAACAAACATTTTTGTGTTTAAGGGTAATATCTCACAAATACACTTTAAGTAAGATGTTTTTGAAAGGTAAGCTGTATATATAGAATGCAATGAGGTGTGTACGGTAATCAGAGGAGGGGGGGGGGGGGGTTCACTTAGAAATAGGACAATAGGTGATAACTTGCCCTTTCTAATTTCCTGTAGCCTACCATGTTTTTTACACTTTTGGTAACAAAATTTGTGTCTCTTATCACTTCCTGATCTAATGATTACTTTTTTACACCCTTTTCTATAAAGGTTGACGGCACAGCTTCAAGTGTGGCTTTTACACCCCTGAAGAATTTGGAAATTTTCAACCCTCACGCTGCAGAGACTAAAGCACAGCAAAGCACTCAGCGGTACTTTTCTTCTACTGGCACTTTCCTGAAAGTGAGCAGAACGCCAATGCCGCCACCGTCCCTTCCCGGACCGAGCGGATCCAAGTAGTCATTGAATTGATGGACATTGTGCTGTTTTATTAATGAGGATGTTGTTATGGTGATTTGTGCGAATTGACTTATGTCCTCAGTGTAATTTGTTTCTAATCACCCTTCCCTCAGTTTGTTTTATGTTCTGTAAGATAACCTCTATTCATAAATGATCTATAAAAATGAGCTGAAGTACATTTATGTCTTGTTGGTTTTTACTGTACATCTACAATGAAGAGTTGCAGGACAAAGCGTTATATTTCATTATTTGTAGCTGTATCTCACTATTGCTGGAATCCAATAGGATAGCAACAGAATGCCTGTTCGAGGAAAATAAGAAAAGAAAGGTAGTGCTGGATTTTTCGTAAAAGTACCATCATGTTTGAGCTGTTGTTTTTTTTTGTTTTTCTTTACTGCCTCAGTAGCAGCCACTTTGGTCTTAAAAGTATAATACTTTTTCTTTTACAAATACCTCTGTGTATACTGGTCAGGGCCCAAAGATGAGACTGTCATTGGTCAAAGTACAACCAAGTCCTGCCATATTTTAGGTCACTTCTACTTCTAGTTCTCAATTGTTTAATACTTAATAGAAAGTTTTGTTGTTCCAGTGTATGATCTGAGTGAATAAAGTGAAAAGAAAAATGGGAATTATGAATTGTCATGTAAATCTTTCAAGTTCTCATCAGTTGTAATTTATTTTTCTTCATTCTTCTTGTAGTGATATCAGACATCTTCACAAATATGCTGCCATCCGTTGAAGTGCCGCCAAGTTGTTATGAAGTTTATTTTATGACTAAGGAGCGCTGGCTCTGGCTTTGCGGGCATTGTAGCTCTCTGGGACTGTTTGCATTTTTGGCATTCTTCAAGCAGTTGCCTTGAGTGCTATGTTGCATGGGCATGACTTGCCAATCCTTAGGTTTCAGGACATATGTTTTCAGCTTGTTGTAACCTGATCTGAGAACATAATGTAGCCTACTTTTTAATTACATCATGACTTGTAAATTTGAGTATACATTTGAAATATTTGTTTTGTAGGCCTTGTAGGCTTTTCCTGCTGCTTTGAGATGAGAGTAGATGAAAATAATGATAATGCAAATAATTTCTATAGGGCCCACTCCAGTACACTACAACTCAGGGTGCTTTACAACACACAAGTCAATGAACAATAGATAGTGTAAAAATGAACTTTTCAGTGTCTTCTTTTGAATGGGAGGTACAGCTCCTGTATACTCAATAGTTGTATACTTCATTAGGTCTGGCCCAGTGTTGTACATTATTTACTTCAGGTTACAATTACACTTTCTTTCTATTCTGGTTACCAATTCCTGGGATGATTTTGTTGAATAGCATAACTCACGTTGGTCTACCATGGCTGCTACAGATGTATTGTGGTCAAAGGACTATAGGTTTTTCACAGGTTTTAGTTTATTTTATTTTTTTAAAGTCTAATTAGTAATATTTACCAGAATAAGGCTGAACATTGATGAGCTATTGTGAAAAAACCAACTTGTTTCGAGCGCTCATATGACCTTATGCAGTTGCGAGCGCCGTAAAACCCCATACTACTACTACTACAAAGTTTGCTTTTTTAGAATTTGAAGTTGGCAGAACCAGAAAACTAGCAGAAGCAAAGAGGGATGACTGGGAGGGGCTGATGTAATGATGGAAAGATATCCTGAGTAGTGAATTGAGATGGAATAGAAGCAGTCTAGTACTAGTAATATCATAATAGTAGTAGGCTACTAGCCTTTGGTGTGGGGGGGGGGGGGGGGGGGGGGGGGGGTGTTGTGTACACTACATATTTCCATGGGAAAACCTCTGATATAAAACAAAACTTCATCATCCTGTCATCAGCTTTCTTACCATGGGCCAGGGTATAAGCCATCAACAAGAGCTCTCTGTGTACTGTTGGCCACAGAAAACATGAGCATGGAAAACTTGAAGTCATGGGTAGCTCGTACAATTAGCCATTCCCTGACTGATATCTCTTTAATTTTTCGCAATAGACTTTAATACAGGGATGTGGTGGCGAAGCGGTTAGTGCTCTCGTCTCCGAAGCGGAAAGTCTGGGTTCGGACATAGATATTTTTTCGCCCCCTCCTGCCCACCCAGCAGTAAAGGGTACCTGACTTCGAGTTGGGGAAGTAAAGGCAGCATGGGAAGGAATTGGCCACCCTACCACAATATGCCGAAGGCCCAGGAAGTTGTCTCTCTAACAAGGCAATCCACAATGTCCAGATTGGAGGTGGGAACAATTTTTTAACAGTTTAATAATTGATGAGTTGAAAATAGATTTGTCGACTCCCCTCGTGTTTGAGGTATCTGTGCCAGATTGTACTTCTGTCCCGGGCCATTGTCTCCACCTCGGTCCAGCTGTATCTCATCTTCTTCAGGTCTGAATCTTATTCTTAGCCTCTCCTCCAGGTACATTTCAAACAAAATTTAATAAGAGCATTAAATTTAAAAAGCTGTTCAGTTTTGATATATAATAGTATTATTAGCTCTAATTCCCAGCGGAATAAACTATTTCAAACACTTTATGATCTAGTTGTTAGTTTGTTATTATAAGTCCATTACATAAATTATAAATTTGTTTTCCAACTCAATGGTAGTCAGTAGTGGAAATGTATGACAAGCAGAAAGAACTTTTTCATACAATCTCTCCACTGCAAGGTAAACCTACTTACTCAACTTACTGCATGTGCATCTTAAATTCACCTGCAGCTTAGACATTTTATTTTATCTAAGAAAAGTTCTGTACCATGTTTTTAGAATCTCGAGGTGGCAGATAAATTCTGAGATCTGAAATAACTCGTCTAAAATCTATAGGTGGCCATGTATAGGCCAGTCTTTATAAAGTAGCTTTGGTAAAAAGCAGTAGAAATGACATTCAGTTAAAAGATTTGTCCCTCCCTTTTGACACGGTGAGGTGATTGAAGAAGCCGAGCTTCATAACGGCTATGGAGTAAAGCTATCATCAAGCTGAGAAAAATGTCTCACTTTTGGAAGTTGGACTGGGTATCAAACCTCAGAATCCAGTGGACATGTATCAGTACTATTACTATCACTGCACCACAGACACTCTGGTATACATAGGCCAATGTGAAACAAGTGCCTCATTTAAATTAGTCTGTATCACGAGTAGGCCCTACTACTACTAGTATCAAGAGGTATACAATGTACTCTCTTCTCACATGTGTTACAAAACAATTGAACCTAATTCTCGAGTTTACGAGACACATCAAGTACATACATTATAACACAATTCTAGGGGACCATGGTATGGGGACATATAGCCCCAGAAACATACACAGCCCATTGTTAGTTATAGCTGTCTGTGACTTCCTAGCGTCACAGATTATAAAGGTTTTGCACCCTTAAATGGACACAATGAAGATCATTTACTACTTTTGATAACTGCTTTGACCCTTCCTGTGACTGTGAGGTCCAACTAGGGCTGTATGAGATACCACTTCATTGAAGAAAAATTGAGATAATTTTGAACAGAATCAGAAGTAACAAATCTAAAAAAAATGTCTGTTCCACACGAGATTTAAATTCGAATATATCATGTGCAAAAAAGTGCCAAATCTTTAAAGGAAGTCTTTGGGAGACCAGTCTCCTGAATTACACCAGACATGTCTCATGTATAAAAGGAAGAGCTGTATTCCAAGGATCAAAGACTTTACATTAATTTGTTATGAAAAGCCTGAACCTATAGATGAACAGCAGGCCTACACATCTATTTTGAGTGTGGTGAGACAATATATGTATTTGGATTGAACTGACATCAAGGCACCAAAGAAAGCCAAATGGAGGATAAACCAATTTGGCCAATGTATGCTGTATCATCACTGAAAGGTGAAATAAATTGTGCATGGGGAGGGGGGGGGGGAAACGAAACAGTATATATCAGTGGTATCACTCAGTTTATTCAGGTGTGGGAAAGACAGGAACGCAGGGAAAGCTGTTCCATTCAAAGGTAATGACTCTGACAACATAACATGACATAATTGTATACATACATCTTTTTTTTTTTTAAAGATGGCAAATTTTAAAACAATACATGAGCAATAAAGAGCAATAAACCTGTTTAATATCAGCGCCTAAAGAAATTAAAGCCATTGCTAAACTTACTGATTTTTTGCCGTCAGGGACTTTGGTACACCTATCTGCCAAATAGGTAAAACATTTGATTACATTGTCGATAACCCTGGTTCTAATCTCTTCAGTGGCCTTCAAAATGCACACCAACAATCAAGATATAATAAATGTACCGGTATAAATCTGACCAAAAAAACCCCAAGAGGCACGAAAGCCACAAAACAACCACTTCACTTCAAGAATCTCTCCTGAAAAAGTGAAAATGAAAAGTAAGGTCATCATCCCCACTGTCCAATATGATACATGTACTATGCTAGTTAACAGAGCACCTAAAAATGTTTGAGTATTTCATTACAACATCATGGAAACCAACCGGGAATATAAATCTTAATACTATAAACTATTGAAACAATTTAATATAAAAAATGAAAATGGATAGAGTAAACTCACAAGGCATGAAAAAGTGCAAGTTGCAACATAATATAATCGAGGCAGTGTGATGAAATCAGACGCTCGTCAAAATAATGCGTCATAATAATTTCCAACGAGTGGAAATCAGTTTCTTTGTTGATGTCAAAATTTTGACAAGTATCTGATTTTACCATGATGTCATCATACAGTGAAACTCGGATTCAATGAAGGGAGACAGCTTCCCCATTAAAAAAAAATTTGTTAACAAAATAACTCGGATTCAATGAACAAATAAATGAGCGAACTCAGGTTCAACTAAGTCGCTTGCAGGGCAACCAGCTCCCGCAGACTTGACATCACACATTTGGCTCCCGAAACGAAGCTTGTCTACCCTATTCCAAGGGTCCATAGATCGCACTTGCACCATGTTTCATTATAATCATACGCTATTCCTAGCCTACGGCTTAGGACTTTGAATGTCGCCAGAAAACAGAAGCTTCACAGTTTATCTCCCCCTGGCAACTGAACAATGAAAGGCTATCGTAGACATAGCTTTTGACCTGTCCAATAAATTGCAGGCTAGTTTGTGGGGGGGACAAAAAAACTTGGCCGTATTGTGGGCCCTACACTTCAAAGCAACTTATTGCTCACATTGCTATAAAAATGAACACTTGGATTAAACTTAATTAAATTAAAGGGTCACGTCCGATGACTTTGCTATATCCAAGTACCACTGTATATACATTTTGGTATTATAATATTATCATAGCAAACTCTTCAGGTTCAGGAAACAGATTCGACCTATACCAATGGAGTAGTGGTGAACTCTTTTAGTACTCCCAGCTCTATTTCAAATGGTGTTTTCTTCTTCCTGTCATGTACTCTGTTCACTCCATACTACAGAAACTTGCCATCATTACACCAATGTAAAAGTTGGTCCATTGACATGCTATCATTTTTAACCACTTAACAAGATATAATATTAATATATATGCAAATGGAATAATGCACATCTCTGATTATTATGGTATATTGTACTTGTTCAGGTACAATTTCCTTAATAAGTTCTACATGACATTTGTTCTTTTCAAAATCAGTTCTCTCTAAAAACTATTTTGGGGTAAGACAGGTAA